AGAGGGCCCCYGCCCGGCCCGTCTGCCACTTTGGTTCGAAAGAGCTCGTTCCCCTAGATGCCCTAGATCTGAGAAGCCTTTCTCGGCGAGATGGTCGGAGAACACCGTACGTGACGGCCGCGTCTTGGTGGTGAGGAGCGTGGTCACTGGCGGCTTCTGCTTGTCGCGGGTGAAGCGTCTTTAGGCCTCGATAGCTACTCCTCTGCATCAGCCTCACGGTGCTCGACCGGTGTGGATCTTCGTAGATCCTCCTCCTCCTCTGTGTTTCCGGCGAAGACTCGGTGGGATTGGCCTCGGAGCGACGTCCGGTGGTCTTGGTTCAGCTGATTTCTTCTCTTTAGGATTCACTCTCTTCCAAGTGCCCTTGGGAGATCCGCCGTGCTAAGGGATGCCTCTGGTGGTTACCTTCTCTCCGTCATTCTCCTCTGCTTGGGGTGGATGGTGATTACGGCATTGAGTACGGTTGCTGTCCTATCCATGTTTCCCTTTTGTTCTCCTCTTGGCTTGTTCTCAGTGAGATTTCAGGGAGTTGGGGAGGATGCTTTCTGTTGCAGGTTATTGTTCTCCCTTGCTGCTTGATGCCCCATTCTCATAGGTTAGGCTATTTGGAGTTATTGCTTCTCTTTGGGGTGGATTGCTTGGTCCACGGTCACTTATTGCTCGATTAGGCTTGTGAGGATGGATGCATCTCAGATGGAGTTGTGCAGGGACAGTGCTTTTCTCGTTTCAGGTATGTGTCCATGGTTGCCCTTGCGAGTGTGAGAAATTGGGTTTAGTGGTCCTGGATCAGCCACTCGCCTCTTGCGTAGAAGTAGATTTTGATGTGGTTCTGCCTCCGGTGGAGGTGTGCACTGTGTCATCCTTTCCGCCTCTGCGTATTCTAGTCTCTCGGTGGTTATCGGGCCTTGGTATTAAGTGTGTCTTCATAGTGTATGGCTTTGTTGAGGTTGTGGCATTATTAAGTTGAATTGGTGTTTTTGCTCTTCATGGAGCTTTAGAGGAGAAGTAAGACTAATAGTGTTAGTACTTGAGGTTTGAATGATTAGTTAGCTCTGTGCTTGCCGTGCCCTAGGAAGAGTGAGATGCTGCTAACACAGGATTTGGTTTAGAGGTTTCTCGCTGTTCTAGCTCATGGAAATGCTCCTTGAGTRACTCTCACTTGGCACAGTTGGTGCAAGTGATCGAGAACTGTGAGGTCGTTGCCGTTGACGGTTCAGTTTTTGGGCCTCGTGTGAAATGCTTCTACTGCTTCGTGGTTTGCGTCATCTCTCTCGCTTCTCTCTGCTTACGCTTCGCGAGATGTGGACTTGGGAAGAACATTTTAATATCGTCATCACTTCGTCGTATTCCAAATGCCTTTGGCTTTGTTGACGCGACGGACTGAAAACCGGTTGAAACTATGTATCCATGTTTTTAATTCTTTTTTGCCGTGGATGCATGATCATTAGCTTATAGTCATCGATTGTAAGCTAAGAACATTTTCATTGATAATGAAATATTTACCTTTTAGCAAAAAAAAAAAACCATTACACGAGAAAATCCATAAAACTAATTAAAAAAGAGAATTTTTCAAAAAATGCTATTTCTTGTGAAATTTGTTTCCAAATCTGCCATAAATCAATTGTGCTTTCAAAATTTGCCATTTTTGTTGATTTAATTTCAATTGAATAAGTATAAAAGATAGATTTACCCTTGAACAAAAGAGGAGTTTCAACTTGTCCACCACCACCACTCGTCCA